AAACAGTGTGAATTCTTAGACAACCTCAATCTTTTCTCCATTTATCGTGATGCTGCTTATTGGTCCAGTTGTGAGAATTTTTGTTTTCTTTATATTGAGATGTAATCCATATAGCAGACTGTATTCTTCAATCTTCATCAGTAAGTGACTCAAGTCATCCTCACTTTCAGCAAGCAAAGTGTTGTTGTCAGCATTTCTCAGGTTGTTAATGATTCTTCCTCCAATCCTGATGCTATGTTTTTCTTCATATAGTCTAGCTTCTCAGAATATTTGCTCAGCATATAGATTGAATAAGTATGGGGAAAGGATACAATCCTGACACACTTCCTTTTTGATTTTAAACCATGTAGTGTCCCCTTGTTCTGTTCGAACGACAGCCTCTTGGTCAGTGTACAGGTTCCTCATGAATACAATCAAGTGCTCGGGAATTCCCATTCTTCTCATGTTATCCATAATTTTTCATGATCCACACAATCAAATGCTTTTCCATAGTCAATAAAACACAAGTAAACATCTTTCTGGTATTCTTTGCCTTGAGCCAGGATCCATCTGACAGCAGCTATGATGACTCTTGTTCCACATCCTCTTCTGAATCCAGCTTGCACCTCTGGAAGTTCTCTGTCACTATATACTGCTGCAACCGTTTTTGAATTATCTTCAGTAAGATCTTACTTGCAGGCGATATTAATGATATTGTTCGATAATTTCCACATCCTGTGGGATCACCCTTCTTTGGAATGGGTACAAATATGGATCTCTTCCAGTCAGTTGGCCAGGTAGCTGTCTTCCAAATCTCTTGGCATAACCAAGTGAGTGCCTCCAGTGGGGCATCCATTTGTTGAAACATCTCAATGGGTATTAGGTCAATTTTCGGAGCTTTGTTTTTTGCCAATTCTTTCATTGCAGCGTCAACTTCCTCCTTTAATACCATTGGTTCTAGATTATATGCCACCTCCTGATATGGATGAAGATCGACCAGTTCTTCTTGGTACAGTGACTCTGTGTATTCTTTCCATCTTCTTTTTCCTGCATCATTCAATATTTTGCCCATAGAATCTTTGAATATTGCAACTCGAGGCTTAAATCTTTTCCTCAATTCTTTCAGCTTGAGAAATGCTGAGCGTGTTCTTCCCTTTTGATTTTCTAACTCCAGGTCTTTGCACATTTCATTATAGTAATTGACTTTGTCTTCTCAAGCTGCTCTTTGAAATCTTCAGTTCAGCTCTTTTATCTTGTCATTTCTTCCATTTGCTTTAGCTACTCTCCACTCAAGGGCAAGTTTCAGAGTATCTTCTGTCATCCATTTTGGTCTTCTCTTCTTTTCTCGTCTTTTTAGTGACCTCTTGCTTTCTTCATGGATGATGTTCTTGATGTCATCCCACAGTTTTGGTTTTCATTCACTGGTGTTCAATGCATCAAATCTATAGATGATCTCTAAATTCAGGAGGGATATATTCAAGATCATATTTTGGCTCTCGTGGACTTATTTATCTTTAACTTCAAGTTGAACTTGCATGTGAGCAGATGATGGTCTGTTCCACAATCAGCTCCTGGCCTGGTTTTAGCTTAAGATACTGAGCTTTTCCATTGCCTCTTGCCACAGATGTAATCAGTCTAATTCCTGTGTGTTCCATCTGGCAAAGTCCACATGTACAGCCACTGTTTGTGTTGTTGAAAAAAATTATTTGCAATGAATAAGCTGTTGGTCTTGCAAAATTCTACCATGCTATTTCCAGCATTATTTCTGTCACCAAGGCCAGATTTTCCAATTACCGTTGATTCTTCTTTGTTTCCAACTTTTGCATTCCAGTCACCAGTGATAATTAACACATCTTGATTGCATGTTGGGTCAATTTCAGACTGCAGAAGTTGATAAAAATCTTCAATTTCCTTATCTTTGGTTTTGGTGGTAAGTGCATAAATTTGAATAATAATAGTAGGAGCTCTGGTAGGCAGTGCCTAAGGCATTTGACTGCTAACCAGAAGGCTGGCCATTCTAACCCCCCAGCCACTCCTCGGAAGGAAGGTTGGGCAATCTACTTCCATTAGTGATGCCACCTTGGAAACCCAAGGATGTGTCACTATGAGTCGGGTCCGACTCCATGGCAGTGTGTTTGATTTTGTTTTTAGTATTAACGGGTCTTCCTTGTAGGCATATGGATATTATCCTTTCACTGACAGCATTGTACTTCAGGACAGATCTTGAAACATCCTTTGTGATGATGAATGACATGCCATTCCTCTTTAAACTGTCATTCCTAGCATAGTAGATCATATGGTTGTCTGATTCAAAATGGCCAAAACCAGTCCATTTCAGCTCGCTAATGCCTAGGAGCTCTGGTAGCATAGTGCCTAAGGCACTTGCCTGCTCACCAGAAGGCTGGCGGTTCAAACCCACCAGCCACTCCTCGGAAGGAAGGTTGGGCAATCCTCCTTCCGTAGTGATACTGCCTCGGAAACCCAAGGAGGGGTCGCTATGAGTCGGGGCCAACTCGACGGCAAAACAACAACAACAACAACAATGCCTAGGATATCAATATGTATGCATTCCATTTCATTTTTAACAACTTCCAGTTTTCCTAGATTCATACTTTGTATATTCCATGTTCCAATGATTAATGGATGTTTGGAGCTGTTTCTTCTCAATTTGAGTGGTGCCACATCAGCAAATGGAGGTCTTGAAAGCTTTACTTCATCCATATGAGTAAGGTTGGTTTTACTCTGATGATGCAGCTCTTTCCCAGTCTATTTTGAGAGCCTTCTAACCTAAGTGACTCATCCTCTTCCTTTGTATTGGATAAGGTTTCCATACTTTTCATAACGTTGCACAGTAAGGTATCAGACAGTGTTTCCCTGCTATTCATAAGGTTTTCCCTGGCCAATTCTTTGAGAAGTGGATGGCCTCTTCCTTCTTCCTAGTCTGTCTCAGTCCGCAAGCCGTGCTGATACCTGTGTACCATGTGCATCCGGCTGGGCTTAAAACACTGGTGGCACAGCCTCAAGACTCACAGCAACATATCACCACAGTAGCACAAACTGACAGACAAGTTTGTCTCCCTTAGCTGTTGGAAACCTCTCCAACCTCCCCTTACCTGGATTCTTACTGCTGCCTCCTTGCTCTGTCCTGATCCACCTGGCCTTTTTCTGTCCTTTCCCCACTTTCCCGCCTTGCCACTTTGAGGCGTGGCCTGGATTCCCTCCCCTAAACTAGATCCCTGTGGCTGACTCCTCTGATGGAAGGAATACACTGTACCAAAAGGAATTGGTTGATGTTCAGCCATTTCAATAGCTAGCTTATGATCAAGAAGGAAGAAGTCCAAACTGCACTGAAGGAATTGGTAAAAAGCAAGGCTCCAGGAATTGATGGAATGCCCATTGAGATATTTCAACAAACAGATGCAGCACTGGTGGTGTTTATTCATTTATGCCTAGAAATTTGGAAGACAGCTGCCTGGCCATCTGACTGGAAGAAATCCATATTTGTGCCCATTCTAAAGAAAGGTAATCCAACAGAATGTGGAAATTATTGAAAAATATCATTAATATCATACACAAGTAAAATTTTGCTAAAGATAATTTTTTTTTAAATGGTTGTAGCAGTATATTGACAGGGAAATTCCAGAATTTGAGCTGGATTCAGAAGAATCATCATTGCTGATGTCGGATAGACCTTAGATGAAATCAGACAGTACCAGGAAGAGGTCTGCCTGTGTTTTATTGCCTATACAAAGGCATTTGACTGTGTGGATTATAACAAAATTATGGATAACATGAAGAATCCAGTAGTAGTAAAAGAAAATAATCATTAATTTAGTGAGGGTGGAACTTGATGTCTGATATGAGCTGGAGTAAAGCTTTAAAATTATAATGAGAAGCCCTTGTTACTTCAAGTCTCTGACTTCTTTTTCTTGGACAGTCAGCATTCCTTTTTTCTCCCTCCTTTCTGACTCTGCTTCTTTTCTACCTGTCTCCTTACCTAGGATTCTGTATGCAGGAAGCACCTCCGAAGTCAGGGTAGGACAGGCAGGAGGTGGGAGAGTAACTACGATGACTTCTGCAGTACTGGTGGATATTCGAGATGAGGTGACCTGCCCTATCTGCCTGGAGCTCCTGACGGAACCCATGAGCATAGACTGTGGCCACAGCTTCTGCCAAGCTTGCATCACAGGAAACAAGCAATCAGAGACCAGTCAAGATGGGGAAAGCACCTGTCCTGTGTGCCGGACCAGCTACCAGCCTGGGAACCTCCGGCCTAATCGGCACCTGGCCAACATAGTGGAAAGACTCAAGGAGGCAGTGTTGGGCCCTGAGCAGCAGCTGAAGGTAATTCTCTGTGTACAGCATGGAGAGAAACTCCAGCTCTTCTGTAAGGAGGATGGGAAGATTATTTGCTGGCTTTGTGAACGGTCTTTGGAGCACCGTGGTCACCACACATTCCTCTTGGAGGAGGTTGCTCAGGAGTACCAGGTGAGAGACTAGGATGGAGGGGGGGATAGGGTAGAACAGAGTCTGGCAAGTGTCCTTGTGCCTCCCATTTACCTAGAAGATGAACCTAGAAAATATCCTGTGGCCAGGATTGCAGACTTACTTGCTACTCAACATCATCCCTGCATGGTTTTTTTAGCAGAGGGGGCTATTGGGGGTAGAAAAGGGCATGGTGAATTGGGTGTGGAGAATACATTAGCAATGAGAGTAAAGGACTTAATGTACCTTGGAAACAGGTCCTTCCCCTGGGAGGAAAGAGAATCATCCAATTCTCTTTGGTGTCTATCCCCTGTGTACCAAAGATGTGATAACCTCAGTTTTCCATCCCAGGACAGGACAGCCTTCTGAGGCCAGGATAATCTCTACTCCATTCATTCCATGTCTAGACACAGAGAAAATGTAAAGCTTAGCCCTGCTTAACCTGATGTGTTTCTCCCAGGAGGTGTTCCAGGAGTCTTTGAAGAAGATGAAGAAAGATCAGCAGGAAGTTGAGAAACTAACAGCTGTTATCAGAGAAAAGAAGGCATGCTGGAAGGCAAGAGGGATTCTTCCTAAGGGTGTCTTGGGACAAGAATCCAGCAGGTCATGGGAGCTGAGGGCAAAAGGAGCCCTAATCCCATCTGTTCCCTAATATTGGGCTAGAAGAGCTTCCCTTTGCCTAGTCGTCTGTTAGAGCCTTTCCAATGAAAGCACTGCCCTTTATGCAGGAGCCAGGGAGGAGTAGTTAGATAATGAACACATCAAAAGTGATTCTGTGCTTTTGGAGCCATAGGAGAGGAAACATGGGCAGGCGTGGCCCTTAATTCCTGACTCTGGACCTTGTTTTAGTTTCAGGCTCTGAGTCTTCCTGAGAAAGACAGGCCTGGGCCAATAATTCCCACCTCAAGACTCAAAATCGGAAGGGGTAACTGATGCAGAGACATAGGGGGCTAGGAATACTGCCTGCAATCTAAATTTCTTCCTGAAACTAGTGTGTATCAAGGAGGCCTAGATAAGGCAGCCCAGGACCAATGGTCTGGGAAGAGCTGAAAAGAGAAAGTTTCTGTAGGCCTTCTCCCCCCCATTTACTTCTCTCCTATTGAGGCCTCTTGGCCTCTCCCTTTGTAGACTCTTAGCCTCTTTTCCTTCCCTGTTCCTGAAGACTCAGATGGAACCTGAGAGGTACCGGATCCAGACACAGTTTAATCAGCTGAGAAGCATTCTGGACAAAGAAGAGCAGTGGGAACTTATAAAGCTGGAGGAGGAAGAAAGGAAGGGGCTGAGTATTATAGAAAAAGCTGAAGATAAGCTGGTCCAGCAAAGCGAGTCACTGAGAGAACTCATCTCAGATCTAGAACGTCGGTGTCAGGGGTCAGCAATGGAGCTGCTACAGGTAAGGACCCTCAAACTGAGAATCAAGGAAAGTAGAAACAACTTTTCTTGCCTTGTAGGACATGGAACTGACATCCTCTGGACACATGAAAAGTTGAAATACGTGAAAGTTGCTGCAATGCCTTTTCCCTATTAAATTATATAGAGGTCATGAGGTGTAAAGCATAAGATAATTAAAAATCCCAGTGCTGAGGGAACATTACATTTTTATTTTTTTACCTATAAAAGGTGGTTCAAAACTTTATTTGATACCATGGAGAAGAGTTATCATATCCAATGATACTCTATAGCAGGGTTTCTCAACTTTGCCACTGTTAACATTTGGGACCAGAGAATTATTTTTGTGAGGAGCTTATCAGCATCCCTGGCCTCTCTCCACTAAAATCAAGCACTGCCTTAGTCCATCCACATATTGCCAACTGTCTCCTGGTGCCAACATATCATTCCCCTCACCCTCACCCCTTTTAATAGCCAGACTAAAGTACTTAGAGATTCTCTCTTTTTAAAATTAATTTTACTTATTTTTCTTAGTGGTTCATTGAGGGGAGCTCTGGTGATGTAGTGCCTGAGACATTTGACTGCTAACCAGAAGGTTGGGGGTTCAAACCCACCAGCCACTCCTCGAAAGGAAGATTGTGATTCTTTATATAATACTGGCTCTTCTTTGCTTTCATTCTTCTCTTAGACAGAATCATTTAACAGGAAGTTTAAACAGGTCTTTTGAGGCATGAAGAAGGGTAGGCTCTGTTCTGTGTGTAGGTGGGAAGGATGCAAGGAGTCAAGACTGGAAAGATTTGATGGACGAGTTTGAACTGAGGTTGAAAATTGAGCAGCTATTCTACAGAGAGTGAATAATGTGACTATGAAATTAAGGTATGAAGTACCTTGTGATGTTCTGGAGCCTTGAGACTGTTTCTTTTCCTTGTTTTCTGTTTACCTTCAGCTTTCCGCTCTTTGCTGGTGGAATAAGGATTTCTTGTTTTTTAAGGAGCCATGATGGTGCAACGATTAAATTGCTGGGATGTTGACCAAAAGATCAATGGTTCAAACCCACTAGCTGCTCCAGGGAGAAAGATGTGGCAGTCTGCTTCCATAAAGATTTACAGCCTTGGAAACTCTATAGAGCAGTTCCATTCAGTTCTGTAGGATTGCTCTGAGTTGGAAACAACTCAACATCAATGTGTTTTGTTTTGGTTACTTTTTCTTGGACCCTAATATTGGAGATTGAGGTAGTTGCTTTCCACCTCTTGGAGCTTTTCCTCATTCTCTGCTTTGGGGATTGCTTCTTCATCTTATTCTTCTTGCCCTTGGCCTTCATTTTGATGTTAGCTTGCCCTAATGCTTCCTCCTTCTAGCTTTTCCTAGCTCCTCTGCGGCCTCTCCTCAAACTGTAAAAACTGCTTCTTAAATTCTTAAAACTGTAAAACATTACTTCTTAAATTACTTATTAAATAAATTACTTCTTAAAAATTACTTCTTAAATTCTTACTTCTTAAAATACTTCTTAAATTACTTCTTAAGTGTTATCTCATACTCTTTCCAGAACTCTCCCATCACAGATGTATTCTTCCTTTTCTTTTTGTTACCTGTGTAAGTGACATTGTTAATCATTTCTATTTGATAGCCTGATGTAAGCCTTATGCTTTATTCTTCAAGTTCACATTATTGGAGAATAAAGTCAACAGAAGAAAAATAACCATGAAGTGGCACATACCTCACTATGCCTTGAGATTGATATAATCCTAGACATTTTGTTTGTGTGAATTAATAGATCCATTACCTCTACTACTTTCCATGTCCAAACTAGTTTGAGATGTTTTTCTGTGAAATGCAATCAAATATAATCTTGATATGGAGAAAATAGTTATTCTTGTGTCATATAGACCAAACTGTTGGCTCTTTCTTCAGCAAAATTGAGATACATAGAGCAGTAACTAGAGAGACCAAATTAAGGGGCCATTGGGCAAGTCTGTTCAAACACTGAGGCAGGCAGTGTCAGTGGTGAAGGTAAACAACAGAAGGCTAAAAGAAGGTAAGGGTGAAATCAAATGACTTTGTCAAAAATGGGGTGTCAGGGTGAACATATAGTAATTCTTAGGATGATACTTTGCTAAATTTGGTAACTAAATAGATGCTAGTATCATTCAGGAATTTGGAGGATAAGAGGAAAGATACTATGGTTGCAGAAATAATAAGCTTTATTTTAAATATCTTGTTTGTGGTATGTGGCATATTTGCTAGAGAGTATATTGATCTGGGTCATAAAAGAAAGAGATCTGAGCAGAAGTACAGATTTGGGAATCAGTAACACCTATGTGTATTGAAATCAAGGGAATGGATAAAGTCAGCAAAGGCAAAGTAGAGTGTTAAGGGAAGTAAGGTTTGGGGAACAACCATATTTAAGGCCCATTAGCTGCTTGTTTCCTGAAGAATTCTGGTGGTTGCAGTGGTTAAATGCTCAGCTACTAACCAGAAGGTCAGTGGTTCAAACCCACCAGATGCTCTACATGGGAAAAGGATCTGACAATTTACTCCCATAAAGATTTCAATGTAGGAAACCCTGTGGGGGCAGTTCTACCCTGTCCTATAGGGTCGCTAAGAATTGGAATCAACTCAATGGTGCACAATAACAACAGCTTGTATCCTTGGCAACCATAATTTAAGAGTCTCAAGGATAGAATTTATGACTTAATCACCTGAGATTCTGTGGGGTTAGGCACCATGTCTGGCAAATAGTAGATTATATATATACATGACATCATGTACACATGTACACAAAGTTGTAAAACTAAAGATAAAATGAATGAATTTTTTGCTGATGTCCTACATGAATTCTCAGGGAGAGTCTGCTCTGAGTTCTTACCGCTATTGTGTCACCTTCACATTGAGGCCATCTTTATTCCCATCATATCATGGAGTTGTATGAGTGGGAGAAAGAACATGGGTGAGGCTTTATTAGAGATGAAAAATGTATTATTTCTTCACTTAACCTGTCTCTTTCCCTCCTAGGATGTGAGTGATGTCAGAAAAAGGTATGTGACATCTGTTGTATTATCAAGAGATTCCTACACATAGAGTTAAGACATAGAGTTATGTCTTGTGGTAGTGGAAAAGGGAAAAAAAAAAAAAAATGGCAGGGAAGATTTAAGTCACTATGTCTTGATTTACTCATGAGAATACTGCTGTCTCAAAAATAAGGACTTGTATGGTAGGAGAATTTGGGTGATAGGAGGCCCAGAGGTCTCAAGTTGAGGAGTTTCACTCAGGGATTTCCCTCTCACGACTCCTTTTCGATGATTTTTTTTAATGGCTTCCTGCTTTGATTCTAATAGTTTATTGCTACCTCAAAATACACAGATTTTTTTTTTTTTTCTTCACCTCTGATGGCATAGTGATTAATATATTTGGCTGCTAACTTACAGGTTGGCAGTTCAAACCCACCAGCCACTATGTGGGAGATGAGGTAGTCTGCTTCCATAAGGATTTACAGCCTTGGGAACCCTATGGGGCACTTCTGCTTTGTCCTATAGGATTGCTGTGAGTCAGTATCGACTCAATAGCAGTGAGTTTGGTGGGGTTTTGGTTTGAGTATTTTACCAGAGGGAAATTCCTATCTGTATTGTTTCCTGAGTACTGAGAATCAGCTCTTGGGATAGCTGCCTTAAACTTGCCTGTCTCTTCTGACTTTAGAACAGCCCAGACCTTACTATCTAGTTCTCCTCAGATTTCCATTTTTCTCAATTGCAGTAAAAACATAATCTCTGGTGTCAAGAAGAGTGGCTTTGGCCCTGGGACAAACATATATTCTCCATCAGATACTCTAGAATCTCATGAAGGCAAGGTGACAACTCTAGTTACTCACTTGGCGTCTTCAGGTTCTTTAAAGGCACATGAAGTCCAGAGCCTGTTGTCCCTTCTGAAGTCTTTATTCTCAGCTTGGAGGTGAAGACATCTCCTTTGTCCAGTTGGTGTAACATTCCCAGAGACAGTGAATCCTAAGATGTTGCTCTAAAGGCCTAACCCCCTTAGCCTCTGGGAGACCATAGGGCCTAAGCCCACAGACTCTTCAAAGGGAGCCCTTCACTTGATTGTCCCAGAACCAGAGCACCCAGTTCCTGGGCTTCTGTCTGTCTACTCAGATATCTCCACCCTGTCATGTTGGGCCTTCTAAAATGACTGGCATTTTAAATCTTTAGTAGAAATAGCACAAAGTTCCCTGGCCATTATTTTATTTAATTTCATACTATCTCAAGAATGTAAAGATAGAAAGGAAAATCATTATATTTTACAAAAAGGAGGAAAAAAATAAAAGCAGACTTTGACAGCTTAATCTTACCAAAGTTTCACAGATTGTTTTTACTGCAATTGAGAAACAGTGTTCGTTTCAAGTCCAGGTGTTCTAGGTCCAACACTAGAGCTCTTTGCACAGTGACACTTCCAGGAAGGTGTGCTGACATCCACCAGTGGGCCTGGGAGATGAGGGAGAGGTACTGGAGGGACCCAAGGAGTGGACTTGTGGAGCTTCATAAGGTCTGTGCTTCCTAGGAGTGAGGCCTGGACTTTGAAAAAGCCAAAAGCACTCCCCACCAAGCTGAGAAGTACGTTTCGTCCCCCAGATTTGGAAAAGATGCTACAAGTGTTTAGAGGTGAGCAGAGTTGGGAAATAGAGTTTGGATGTGGGATTACCATAGTGGTAAGAAATAAATAGGATAGAGTGTTTAGCTGGATTAGTAGATGGAGTGGAGAAGAGAGAGGGACATAGTGGGCTGAAAAGGTGTGGCTGGTATTTAAGATGAAATTAAATAACCAGTTCACATCCTCACGTATTCCCTGCCCCACTCTGCTATCTGATAAGCTGAGAAATATTATTAATTCTGAGTCCTAGGGTTCTATCATCCTTGACTTTTTATCATTACAGAGCTGACAGATGTCCAAAGCTTCTGGGGTAAGTAGAAACCATGGCCTCTTTGAGGTGATATGTTCTGATCCCCTTTCACCTACCCCTCCTCATAGAAACCCCTACACACTCTCAGATATATAGTGTTAAACACCCCACAAATACCCCCTCATAGTTATGATTCCTCCCAATCACTTCCTGTGCTCCTACCTCCTAGTGCCATAAGACCTACGTACCCATTCATCTCTGTTAATGTTGTACCTTTTCCCACAGTGGATGTGACTATGAATCCACAGATGGCTAATTTAAATCTTCTCCTGTCTAAAAACCGACGGCAAGTGAGATTTGTAGGTGCTAAGCTGCCTGGGCCTTCCTATCAGACAGAATACTATGACTATAGTGTCCTGGGCTCCCAGCACTTCTCCTCAGGAAAACATTATTGGGAGGTAGATGTGACCAACAAGACTGACTGGATCCTGGGGGTGTGCAGTGATTCAGTGGTACCTGGATTCTCTTTCCACCAATATGCCAACAGTAAGAATGTTTGCTCCAGCTATCAACCTCAAAGTGGATACTGGGTGATTGGGTTAAAGCATAAGCATGAATATAGAGCCTATGAGGACTCTTCCACGCCCCTGCTCCTCCTCATAACTGTGCCGCCTCGCCGGGTTGGGATTTTCATAGACTATGAAGCTGGTATTGTGTCCTTTTATAATGTCACAAACCATGGCTTCCCTATCTACACCTTCTCTAAATACTACTTTCCGACTCCCCTTTGTCCATATTTTAATCCTTGTAACTGTGCGGCCCCGATGACCCTATGTTACCCACGCTCTTGAACATTCTGCTTTCCCCACCAGACTCAGTTTCTTAATGCTGCTATCACAGAAATACCACAAATGAGTGACTTTAGGGAGCAGAAATTTATTTGCTCATAGTTTCGGAGGTTTGAGGTTCAAATTCAGGGCACTGGCTCTAGGGGAAGGCTCTTTGTTGGCTCTTGGGGATAATCCTCATTTTAGCTTCTCTAATGGTCTTGTCTGCATTCCCTGGAGCTCGCCCTGTGGCATCTGTTTATCCTGTCTTTGTGTCTGCTTTCCTGCCTCTGTGTCTAATCATCTCCTTTTATTTTACAAGTGATTGGTTTAGGACATACCATGGGCTGTTATGGCCCTCATTAACATAACAAAGAAAACCCTATTTCCAAACAGGGATTTCATCTGCAGCTGTAAGGGTTAGGATTTACATCACATATTTTGGGGGAACAAAAGGAAGTTCAATCCTTGATACCACTACTTCTGAGAAATACCCTTTGCCCTGAGTCTCTTCCCTCTGACCTATTTTTCTCCATCCTCACTCCTTTCTTTTTGAACGTTTAATCCATATTAGAATATACCTAGTGGTGACTGTGAGAATCCGTGACTAATTACAGATCTTGAAAAGATAGAGGAAGAACTTTGAATATTTTGCCATTAAGCACTCACTGCAATTGGTGTATGGTTAATTGTTGGTGCCTGGAATCAAATTTAGGAAGTTCCCTTCTTAATTTGCTGAGTTTTTTTTGTACTGAATGGAAAGTTGAATTTCAACATAGGTTTGTTTCTGTGTAACTACTGAGATAATTATGTGCTATTTTTATTCTGTTAATGTGCTTAAGTACATTGATTTGTTTAAATGCTAAATTTACCATAAATTCCTGAAATAAACCATTATTCTTCTTCATTTCTTGAGCAAATCTGCTGCAAAAGACCTGTTAAAGTTTTAAAAACAAAGATGTCACTTTGAGATTTAAGGTGTGCCTGACCCAAGCCATGGTTTGTCAATTGTCTTATATGCATGCAAAAACCGAACAATGAGAACCAAAGAAAAATGGATGCATTTGACTTATGGTGTTGGCAAAGAATATTGGATATACAGGTAGTCTCCGGGTGTAGCAAAACAGGGACAGAAGCAAAGTTTTATGATTTGGCAGATTAGAACAGGAAAAATTACGTGCCAAAGACCTACTATAATGGGAGACTCAGAAAAGGCATAGTGAGCCCTTTCAAGAACCTGATGAGTGAGATGGGATTATTGATTGGCAGGACTGTAGAAGAGCAACACACATTCAAAATGGCCTGGTGGGCCAGCATCTTTGAGCAAATCAGCACTGTTTCAGACCGGTGGAAACATGTCGTTGCTGTACAACACATACGATGCCCTTCTGCTGTAAGAAGATTAAGTTTCTAACAAGTCTTCATCCGGTAATTTTTCCTGTTGCAGCTATCTTTCTGGTTCACCGTAAGTGTAATTTGAATCTGTTCAGGTGACACTTCGTTGGCCATTCACTGAACTGGGCAGAACTCATTAGAAGCCCTGACAGATTCGAAGCTCCTGGGTGCCTAGCTGTTCTAGAAAGCAAAAAAGGTTAAAACGGTTTCTCAACCTCAACACTATTGACATTTTCGACTGGATAGTTCTCTGTTCTAGGGTTGTCCTGTGCATTGTAAGTTGTTTAGCAGCATCCCTGCCTCTACCGGTCCATTATCAGCAGCATTCTAGTTGGGACAACCAAAAATGCCTTCAGACATTGGCAGATGTCCCCTCTGGCAAATCCCCCCTTCTCTTTGAGCACCACTGGGTTAAAGCCTTCAGGAGCTGCTGCTGATCTGGCCCAGAAGCTCCTCCTACTTCCTCTTCTTGCCCACACCAGGAACTGAACTTTCATTTCTCACTGAGCTCTTTGAGAGCAACTGTTTGATGGAGGCAAAGCATTTGGTTTAGTATATCTGGACCACACACGCCTGTGGCCTACCTTCAATGCAGAACTTCTCCTTAGGCCTAAAGGTGCATGCGAAGGTATGTGGGGCCAAAGGGTGGGAGATTCCAGGAAGAAAGTACTGAGTAAATTTAGTTAAGTATAATTTGTGCTCCAATGGCTATTTAAAGGGGCCTACAGGCTTCCTGTATGGTAGCCCCAGCCTGGGGAAGGGTTCCTTCAAAGGGAAGATTTGTACAAATAAATATGTTTCCTAGCAGGACCATTATTTTTCCAGGCTGAGTCCAACCCCCACCCCCTTCCTATTCTGTGTTCAAAGCATGTGAAAGCCCAGGCTTTGAGTATTGGGCACCAGATAGAATGTACTCTTGGGGACATGGCTCAGGACATCTTGAAGCTGGTTCTTTCACTTCTGGTAAACAATGAAGGGCTTTCTGTGGCCTTCCTAATGTGTTCTCAGCTCTTAGCCTGCCTGACGACATCAGGTTGGATGATCTGACTGCTGCCTGCCTCTACTTTCCTCCTTTAACCTGTGTCCTTCTGGAGGTCCAGTCTCAAAGATCTGCTTGTAGTTCCTTGAATAGACCTGGTCATCTTCATTAGCACATGTATCATTGGTGTCCTCACCTACCTAGAATTTGGTCTCCATTATTTTTCCTCTTAGACACAACTTTGCTTTGTTTCCTCTGTTACTTACTGCTTTTCTTTGCTAAGTGCTTATTAACAGGAGTTGGTAATTGCTCAGAAAGATTGCCAAGGATTCAATGGTCTTGCGAAGAAATTTGCTGCATCAGTTTACACTGAGTATGCCCCATCTTAAGCACACTTTGTTAGCAATCTGTACCTGATAGGTTACATACATTCTGACATATGACAGTCTGCCCCATAATCTCACTTTTCAGAGGTCACAGTAACTGCCTTCCTGTGAATTTGGCCTTACTCTTGGATAGAATTCATTTTGTCCAGAGGCAAAAGGCCCAAAACATAGGATAAAATTGATTTTTTTAATTTGTGGGAACTAAAGCAGACTGCTGATAGAAGAACAATAATGCACATCCATTCAATATATAAAAGCAAAATCAAAAAAACAAAACTTGCTGCTATCAAGTCAATTCCAACCCATAGTGATGCTATTGTTGTTGTTGTTGTTGTTATGTGCCGTTGAGTCAGCCCTGACTCATAGCGACCCCTCCTTGGGTTTCCGAGGCAGTATCACTATGGAAGTA